CACACAAGCTGTTGATTATCTCTCTTGATAATTAATGAAGAAATTTTTGCCCGGGATTCAACTGCCTTTGTGTCAAATAAAATTTTGACATCATAGAATTCCAAAAAAAAATTTTGAAATTTGTTTCTTGTCTAACTTTCTTTGGAACACTGCACTAACGAAATCCTTGAGGTTCTGAGTAATACCAGCTCAGGCTGATGATTTCAAACATCTGGCATATGACTTCGCTTTTCATCCCAAAAGTGAAAGAGCTTAACCTCAATCCGAAGGGATCCGACGGTTACAATTCTATTGGGGCAAACAAACAGGCTGTATTTCAATGACGTATTGTATCGTATCCTACTTTTACGGAGATGGGGCGGTTACTTTTTGATGCATGGCTATTTCTACGGAGTAGTGGTTCGATTTTCAAGGTGCCATGTCAGCATTCATTAAATGCTATCCCGCTTTTAATTCAAACGGAAGGGTTACATATAAATTGGGGGGGAGGGGGGGTGGATTCATGAGTCTTTTGTCACTTCACGATTCTAAAAGAAAATTCCTAATTCTCTCTGCAAATTCAAACTCTCAAAACCCTAACAATGGCGACTGCTAATGTTCATGCTGATCCTTCACAAAATACCGATGAATTAACTTCCATGCCCATTATGAAGATCCAGGGTACTAACTATCAAGTTGAAGGTGATGTATCAAAGTATCCTGACGAATTGAAGATGATGGTGACTGCCTTGAAACGTTCAGTATTATCCACAACGATGTTCAACTCCTTTTCTGTACCAATCTCTTGGTTGTCTCAGGATGGTTCAACTGCTTTTGTTGCTAAGGCGTTTGATGCAATTGTGTTTCATCTCATCAATGATAAAAAGGTCAAACTCACCAAGAAACTCTTTTTTCAAATTCTGGATATCCCCAATACTCCACCATTTGAGGAGTTTACTTATCCTCAAATTGTTCATATGTTCAATGAGATAGTACATCAGCCTCAATTATCAAGAATTAGTGATTTCAAGAAGTCAAGTCTTCCTAGTATGTGGAATTTTTTATTTGGTATCTTCCTAAGACGCTTAACAGAACAAACAGTGGGTCTTGATAAAGGATGAATGGAAATATATGCCATGGTTGCAGGGCTATACTACGACTTACCGGTAGATTACGGTTCACAATTATGGGTAGAATTCCAAAAAAGTGTTGAAAATACCGATGTAAAGCATGACATTTCGTGTGAAAGATATTGGAGCTTGATCTTGCAATATTTTTACAACAAGGAAGGTATTTTGGTGTATAATGATGATGAGAAGGATACTTTTCATGTGTATGTTATTCCAAAGGATGTAGTTGATGATGTGGATATATTTCCAAAAGTTGCAAGAATTCCTGATGCAATGCTGAAGAAGGTGGATCCTACTAATTCTGTGTTTTTGGCATACAAACAAACAATAGATACCACAGTTTCATCTGGTATTCTATTGGAAAAGGAGAATAAGAAATCAAGGAGAGGAAAGAAAGATGAATCTACTTCTTCTGAGAAACCAGTAAGGAAAACGAAGACACAAAAATCTCCTAAAAAGAAATCTGTAGATGTTGATGACTCTATTCCACAAGATGTTTCACTTGCTGATAATCCAATGGTTGATTCTCCTATAATTGACGAAACTCAGGAGAAAGAAACTATTCCTTCAAAAATGGAGTTTTTCGAAGAATTAAGGTGAAAGCTAAAAGTTCACGAAAAGTTTCACCTCATGTTGTTCGTAAATCGCATGTCACACATCAAGGCGTTATTATCAGGGAGGTTCCAGCGCCTGTTTCTCCATCCTCGAAGAAACGACGGGCTGAAAACATGGCAAAGCATTTACAACAAAAGAAATCCAAGAAGTTACGAAAGTTGGTTCTTGGAAATATTTCAACAGATGAAGAAGAAGTCATTCCTAACACTCCGGAAGAAATTTTGGTTGGTGACCATTCGAAGGCTGATGACATCAATGTAAACGTATCTAATACGGATACAAATGTCATTATGGGTTCGGATAATGCGAAGCCTGATGATTCTGAAAATGTGAAGATTGGGAGTCCAAAAACTGCGAAGGGTGATGATCAAGGTATTGTTATTTCAACTTCCGAAATCAGTGTGTCATTACCTCCAATTACCTCTACCACTGATTCACCTACTTTCGAAAACATCATCAATACCCCTTTTACTTCACTCTTTTCATCTCAATCCACTGATCCACCAAAAACAACCTCACCTGTTTATGATACAATGGAAAATGAACTGATACTGAAGATTTTGGAGGAACCTTTGAAGCATTACAGTTTGATGACACAAAAGAAGCGTTTCCAGATCACATGTTGATGACCATGAAGCAATTCAAAATTCTAAATTCAAAGTTGAATTTGATTTTGCAAACTCGGGCCGATATAGGAGGTACTTCATCTGTTTCAAGTTTGGAGGTGGATTCTATGTTGAAAATTTTTGAAGGTCGTGTTACAAACAAAGTCTCTGGGATGATACGGGATTCTGAAGCAAGGGTGTTGGAGAAAGTTGATCTTAATGATAATCGAATGAGTTCTCAAAGAAAGGATTGCTTACACGAAGTGAAGGACTTAAAGTTGTCACGAGAGACAGACATGTTTTGTATGTTCAAGAAGTAAAGAAAGTTCATGAAGATGTTTATCAACAAATTGCAAAACTTCGGGAGGATATGCAGAAGGAAGTTCAGGTTACACAACAAGATTATGCATCCATCAATCAAAAAGTTGACATTATCTGTAATGTTGTCACTAGATTTGTCAAGCTATATGAAACAATGAATCCTCAGGTCATCAATCTTTCTGAACAGGCTGCAAATTTTTTTGATGAATTGGTTACTTTGTTAAAGGAACTGAAGGAGTTATCAGTCAAACCAGTGTCATCCTCTCTCATTACTCCGGAATGTTTATCCCAGAAATTTGTGCAATTCGAAGAAATCTTGCATAAACAATTATCCCCTCTTGTTCACATATCCAGCCTTCTTCTAGCAGTATCGGATGCCCCACCTGCTTTTACAGGGGTGCAAGGGGGAGAAAAGAAGATAGAATTTACGAAGGCTGGGGAAAATATCAAAGAAATCCAAGAAATGAAGAATGATGCGAAGGTGGTGGGAAAGGTATTTTTTTCAAATGTTTCTACTACAAAGCCAATAATAGTTTCAGCTGGTCCAGTTACTTCGACTGTGATTACTACAACCCCAATGAGAAGACCACTTTTGAAAGGTGTTGTTATTAGTGAATCAACTAGGAGTGCTTCAAAATCGAAGACTGTGATAACTGAGACAGCTTCGAAAGATAGAGGTAAAGGGATCTTGGTAGAAAATACCAAAGAAGAAAGGAAAGTTGAAATTGATGAAGAATTAGAAAAGATGAGACAACTTCAGAGCATTATGGCTATTTGTGCTCAAGATCCATAAAAGCATGATAAAGGAGATCCATCAAAGCAGTACAATTATGAATCAATTGAAGCCAGAGTTATGTTTAATCACATATACTCATTTGAGAAGATTCTGAAGAAAAGCTACGTGGTCACTAATTCTGATTCAAGTCAGCTGGATTTTCCTATGAATGATATGATGTTCATCATGTCTCAATTCAAAGCAGAGGTTAAGTGTAAAGATGCCGGTGAAGGGAAAAAGTTAAAAATTCGTTTTCATGCAGTATTGGGGAAAGCACCTGAAGAGGTCTGGTCACTGGAGAAGATAAAGAAAGTTATCAATATCAAAAGAGATGTAGTTTTTGAAGAAGTTATTCAGAATATCAGATACACGATGATCAGATCAAGTGGAAAAGTGTGTGACTTTACCATAGGAGATTTTCCATTGATGAATTTGTATGATCCTATACAAATTGCTTTGTTGCTAAAGAACAAGTCATTTTCCTATCTTCAAGAAACAGAATCGGATGTTTTCAAACTTGGATGCCGACACATCAAAGTTTTCATTAAAAACAATTTTGAGTGCCTTGCTCAAACAGATGTGGATTTGTCCATGGCAAAAGGAATAGAGATTATTGCACCAATGGCACCCACGAAGAAACAAGTAGATCTGAAGAAATTTGAAGATGGTGAAATCTGCCTAAAGCCATTGGGAATTGTCTTCGCAGGAAAAGACAAGGCAGGAAGGGCTAAAAGTTTTTTATTCCAAACTTGCGAAGTGGAAAGATACAGCACATCTCAATATACGAATTTAATTGTTCGTATGAACCACTGCAGAAAGAACAATGAGGGAGATCAGAAGGAGATTAAGAAGATTATTTCATGGTATACAGAGATTCGAAGGGTTATGATGTATTCAATCCAACTACTGACTAACTAAAGACTTTGACCTTGATTACAAAGGGGGAGATTGTAGGAGTAAAAATGTTATAATAAGTCGAAGGGTGTAGATTGTCATACGAAGGGTTTCATGTCTTCGTATGTTATGAATTTATTTTACTAAGGCAATGTATTAAGAGCGCTTCACGCATAGTCCTTAGTTTATTTTTTGTATGCTTTGTTCTCCTATGAATAGGAGTCTTTACTAGAGGAGTAGATAATGTTTTTTATAGATTTTGTCTAAGAATTCTCTGTAAACACAAAGCAAAATATTGAGCTGAAAACAGATTTTATTTACATCCTTGTGCAAATCTCTCATACATTCATAGATTTATACTCTGATTAATTTCATTCTCGAATTCACGATTCATCAGTAACAATGGACCCAAATTTGAAGACACTTGCATAATTATGCCTATCATTCAGAGATTTAATTTAGAATGATTTTTCACTGGACATCCAGGTTGCCCACAACCTAAAGGGACAACCTATATCCTACTTATTTGTCTTACCTTTACAACATTTTACCAATAACCTTTGATGATCACTTTTTTTTATACCATAAATCATATCCATTTTTGACTGCATAGTTGTTGATACATAACTTCAATTCCAATGGGTTATAAAACTTCATACCCAAAACTGGCACCATTTGCTCCTATTCTTGATTCTCATTATGGACAGGGAACACAACATCCTTATATTTTCCATTGTTTTCTTCCTCTTCATCATCATCACTTATATGTCCTGAAAGCTTGTCCACGAATGGGTCTCCAACAGTTTTATCAAAAGCATGGACCTCTTCATCACATTCATGTTCATATTCCATTGTCTCTGAAAGTTCAGAATCATTGTCAACCTCTTCATCCAACTCATCCGACTCATAGCCTTTATCATCTGCTAACAACTCGTTATCAGCCCAATCAATAATTGGTTTATTTCGGTGGTCAATGTACACATATAACTCACTCTTAAGACTATAAACAATTTCCACAAACTCCCAATAATCAACATCACTGTCGATTCTTCTAATACCCTCACACAAGCTTTCCTTTCTAATACAATAGTACACATTATCACATGCTCATTTGGTTAATTTCGTAAGCTACAAAAGAAACTCTTTATACATAAATCCACCAAAATCCACATCACGTACACTTGTTTTTACGGGGTCCAAGTACACCAATGGGTTTGGTGAAAACATTCCATTGTAATGAAAATCTACAAATACATACATACCTATATGTAACAGCCCGAAATCTCAAGTATTGTTAAAATTACATTTTGGGGTGTTTTAAAGGGGGGACTCGGCGAGTTGGAGCCAGACTCGCCGAGTAGGACCGCAGATCGGGTCGCGGGTTCGCGACTGGACTCGACGAGTCCAGATAGGGACTCGGCGAGTCTGCGCTGTTTAGCGAAAACCCTAACCGTTCAGGTTTGGGATGTATAAAGGGGATCATTGGCCGTCATTGTTCCCTTTTAGCCGTCTGAGAGGAGCCCTAAACCGATTGTGTGCATCTGGAGCAAGGTTAGAGGCCATGGGTGATTGTGAAGGAGTTGTTGTGCAAGGAAGGGAAGGTTTTGGCTAAAGGAACAGCAAGGGAGTCACATGCTGGAGATTGGGGACACGGAGAATACATTATCCAGGTATGAATTCGGGTATGCTCTGCTATGTTGATATATTTAGAGGATTAGGGTTTATGGAGCCCTTTTGTGGATAGATTGAGTGTTACCCAGGTCCCCCAAGCGATTGTAACCCTGTGTTGGGACCTTTGGAGGTCCAGATTATTCCATGTCTGGGCATTTCAGGAATTTGTGAAGGTTTTGGATTGAAATCCTTATGCCTTAGGTCAACATGTAAACCATAAGTCTTGGGGTGTAGCATGAGCACCTAAATGAAGACCTTATGTAAAGGACCAGTCGAGGAAGGCCAGATCTATGAATGGTCGGAGCAGTTATGACCTTAGGAAGCAGTTTGAGCGACTGCATGGCATGGACTCGCCGAGTCAGATGAGCAGACTCGGTGAGTAGCTTGAAGAATAACTGGGACTCGCCGAGTTGTTCCTCAGACTCGGCGAGTGGAGTCGGGGTGGCCCCGCGATTCTTCCAAGAGTAACTCGTCGGGTCAAGGAGGATACTCGACGAGTAGAAGGGAAACTTTAGAGGACTGGAGGATGACTAGACTCGCCGAGTCGCCAGGGTACTCGCCGAGTCCGGTCGAGTTGACCGTGGACTGTTGACCAGAGTTGAACTAGGTGTGATTTCTTAGGGTCAGTTGTCTTGAAAGATAAAAGTGTTAATAAGGGACGTACGATATTACAGGGAGTCTGTAGCTCGGCGGATTGAGTACGAGGGATTTCAGGAGTTGCTAGCTTTCAGTATCCACGAGGTGAGTCTTCTCACTATACTATACCCGGAAGGGTTTGACTGTGTGACCGGAAGGTCGAATACGACGTATGTTATATATGCTATAAATAGAAAGGTGGTTGCTATGCATGATATGTATGTTTATACGGGCCGGAAGGCGATATGTTATGTGACAGAAAGGTCAGGTATGATATATGATGTATGTGCTATGTGCGTTAGATTAAATGTATTATGTGTTGTAAATGTTATGGGCCGGAAGGCAATATGTTATGGGCCGGAAGGCAATATGTTACGGGCCGGAAGGCAATATGTTATGGGCCGGAAGGCAATGTGCTATGGGCCGGAAGGCAATACGTTATGGGCCGGAAGGCGATTATCTCATGGGCCGGAAGGCATTGTGCAGTGGACCGGAAGGTCAGGGCCTGGAAAGGCGTATGTGTGTAAGGCGTATATTGGGGAACTCACTAAGCTTCGTGCTTACAGTGTTTTATGTTATGTTGTTTCAGGTTCTTTCAGTAACGCGGGATGGCACCGCGGCTGATTGTACACACCAAAGAAAGAGTTTGTATTTTGGGGATCCTGGTTTTCTATTCAAGTGAAAAT